AAGTTCATGCTATTAATAAATAGGGATGGGACGATACGGGTAAATCACAATATGCTAGGTATCGTGATATTTTCAAGAAAAAATACCTACCATCTATGTATTTAACCGGCAGAACAATCATGTGAACGCTTACAAATCAATAACATGGAGCGCTTAGTAAACAACTGCTATTGAACTGCGAATTGTATCACGCTTCTTATGTTTTCTGATGAAACTATGCTACCAAATGATATGGATTTTGGTCAGTAGAGTATCAATACGTGTATCGTCTAGGTTTGTATGGCAATACATTGTTATATCAATAAATCGTCCACATTCTACTAATAATTAGGCTTATATAGTAATATATAATGTAACTAGTAAATATATATTTAATTACAATTGCAAATGGTAAAATATTATCAAGAGTACATAATAGAGATCTATGTGTCTCTATTATGTACTATTGATATTATATAATGTTAGACTAATGAATTTCACTTTACTGATTGTTATCAAGAAACCTTCACATGTAGTTGGTCTCTTGTGCGCTGCGTACATGAAGTGGTGCACGTTGTAAGGTGTGGCTGTGGTAGTCGGCGTGAGGCATGTGTACCTTCAGGGGAGAGGGAGCCATAGCGGGTTGGGCTGACACGCAAAACCGGTGTTCTCTATGCTAGACGCGTGGCTCATATATAGTCAGTGGGTGGTGCGCAAATGTTCAGTAGGTGTGGTAGGACACGGAACTATTCTTAGTAGTGTGTGTGCGTACATGCGGGTGCGCGCGTGGGCGTGCGTCCGTGTACTTTTTAAGGCGTGTGCACTTGCGTGGTGTTTCATATTTTCAACCTCCAGATCCTCACCGACATTATATAAGACCCTGCCAAGATTCAAATGAATTCCCACGCATCTGTAAGGTGGCAAGCTGTGTATCATAGGAAACCCTAGCTGTACCCGTGTAGCCCTACAGTACACACAGTACAGGTTATGTGCTAGCCCTGTTAGTTAGTGTTACGAGAGCGAAGGAGTAGGGGCTAGGGAAACTGCTAGGGATCTGCAGGTACGTGGTGAGTCGGATCGGGTTTCCACGCTGTACGTCTGCCGACTATGGGAGCGTAACCAACTTGCCCAGCCACACGCCATGCCGAAGATGGAAGGGATGTTAGATGCAGCCGGGATGCTGCGTTGGGTTCCGGTAGGCGGCTATATTTAGCCTGGCATCGCGTGAGCATGACTGGCTTGCTTAGGGAGAGTCACGCAGCTGCTGTTTGATAACAGATGCCCGCACCCCACGCGCGGATGAGCCTTCCTAGTGTGTAGCCGTGTCTACTTCTCTCTCTCTCTCTCTCTCTCTCTCTCTCTCTCTCTCTCTCTCTCTCTCTCTCGCTCTCTCGCTCTCTCGCTCTCTCGCTCTCTCGCTCTCTCGCTCTCTTTCTCTCTATCTGTCTCTCCCACCTCTTTCTCTCCCTCTCTCACTTTCTCTGTCGGATCTCCTCTCTCCCTCACTTTATCTTCTGCCATCTCTCCTTCTTTCTCTCTTGTAAACTAAACGGGGAATGCCAAATGGATTTGAGATTACCATGACACACACTCCAAATAATGAAAATTTAAGTGTGAGGTTCAGAAATAAACTCCAACGACCAAAAGTTAAATCCTTCCCACGCCTATGTGGAACATAGGCGCATAGGGCGGTACCTATCTCCGTTTCTGTAACCCTGAGGCCCCGGAGCTGCTTTCACAGTAAATGCTACAGTAGGGGGTTAGTCCACTGGTAGCACTGCGAGTTAACTTGCCACACTCTATCTTTATTTGCTATCTGCTTTATGTAGTGCGGGGTGAAATGCTTTATTTGGAAACAAACAAAAACCCCTAGGGAGCAAATTAAGAGACTTAGGCTAGATCATAGTAGATGCCTAGTTCGTGGGCATCCAACTCAACTGCTCGGGGTCATAAGATAACAAGGGTAGAAATAAGGAGAAAAAAGAGATGGTCCACAGGACCATCTAGTTTGAAATTTAGATGGTCCTCCTAAATTTTAGATGGTCCTCCTAAATTTTAGATGGTCCTCCTAAATTTTAAATTGTTCTCTAAAAGTAAAAGTAATGCGGCGTGCAAGAAATTTACCGTAAAATGGGACCAAAATATTCAATGGTCCGTCGGACCACTGACTTTAAAAATCTGATGGTCCTCCTGATTATTTGATGGCCCCGGACCATCGGACCATCGCTTATTTCGACCCCTGAGATATCCTTGAGGATGTTTAATGATACAAATTTTGAGCCAGCAGAAAGCTTTCTTTCTCTCCGAGTCTCATCCAGCATGGCTCCCTAGTGCTGCCATCTGTTCGCCCATAGATATCTATATACTAACATAGTTGTATTCATTTGTAACATCAGTTGTTCACATAGAGCCTATTCTTTTCTTTGGAGGAGCCTATGAGCCGCTCGTCGCTTCGAAATTTTGTAACAGGTTATATTAGTTTAATACAGAGTATTATGATACATAGTAAGTCCCAGGATAGTGGAGAAAGATTCGTGTTTAGAATAAACCCAGTTTGAAAGTTCTAGTCTCGAAAAACGCACCATAAAACCGCCCGGAGTGAATCAATCAGGGGCTCCTCCAAAGAAAAGAATAGGCTCGCGTTGTAACCCTACTCTTGTCGGCTTACATTATTGTATCTACGTGAGCGCGGTCTGGTATGTGGGGCGTGCGGTGAGTAGTGAAAGCAGGATGCACATGAATAGGAAATGCTGACAGTCGTCTCCAACCCCGAATGGCCGTTTCTCTTGGCCATCGGCTGCAGACGGATGGGGCCACCACCGCTGCTGTGACAAACACGTAGCGAAGATAGGATTCCAAGATTCAGCGCGCCAACAATTGTGTCGTCATTTGCCTTGAATATATGAAATATCTAAAATATCAATATGTACGTGTGTATGCATATATATATATGATGTCTATATATATATATATACAGGCACGCACGCACGCATGCACTAATAATGGTGTATATATGGAATACAGCTGGGATGTTCATCGATCAGTCGTTCATTCTCTCTCAGTACTCAGTTGAGTCTCTGTGTGCATCTGTGGGCTCTTCACCTGCTGTTTCCATGCTTGGCTCTTCACCTGTGTGCACCTAACATCTTCGTAATACCTCCTCCCCCCCCCATCGATTGGGAGTGTGTGGAGGAGAGCTGGAGTGTTTGTGTGTGTGAGGGGAGGAGAGGAAGAGTTAGTGGGAGTGTGTGTGTGTGTGTGTGTTGCGTGTGTGCGTGCGCGCTGCTGTGCGTTGGTGCGTGCGTGCGCGCGTGCGTGCCGTGCGTGCGTGCCGTGTGAAGGGACGTGCCGTTGTGAGGGGAGGAGAGCAAAGAGTTAGTTGGGAGTGTGTGTTGTGTGCGTGCGTGCGTGCCCGTGCGGTTGCGTGCGTGCGTGTGTGTGTTTGCACGGGCTGTGTGCGAACCTCTCGCGTGATTACCAACTACCAGATGCACCCAATATCCCCCCCTCCCCATTTATCATGCCTCAAGCATGGATCATCATGCATTCATTGTGCACATGAATTTCGCACATTGTTGCAGAATAAGCGCACTAATTTCACACATTGATTTCGTGCATTGATTTCGGAATTGATTTCGCACATTAATTTTGCGGCCGAATCGGGGCGAAGGGGGGTGGGGGTGGCTTGATGCACCGCTGCGATCACAATGATATTTTTTAGAAAATTCGCACGTACGCGTGTGAGAATTCCAGCGGTTCGTAAACTGTGAGAATTTTGTCGTGATGGGATGTTTTTGTCGTTCTATGCCTCCCTTCCACCTCCACTGCTGCCACCACCACCACCACAATCTCTTTCTCTCCCTCTCTCTCTCCTTCTCCCTCTGCCTCTATGTCACTCCCTCCACATCTTCCCCCTCCCTCTCTACCTTCCTCCCTCTTTCTTTAGAGCTTCGGGGGCAGAGAAGCCCCAGCACCCTTACATGTAAACTCATGGGGCTGTTCAGCAGTTGATCAATCAGCAGCGCATTCATGCATCCTTGCTGAAAATACGTCGAATATCATACCCCCCCCCCCCTTCCGTGGACACCATGGCTAGGTATTGCATCAGGTATCATCGCTGCTGCATCGATTCAGTTTAACATCTGCGTCGTGAGAGCACACAGCTATACACAGCTGCCTGTGAGTGACGTTCTCTCTCGTCTTCTTCTCCTCTTACCACGAGACCCAACCACGCTACACACGTGAAATAATAGACATTTTTCTATACTGATGTACTGATGTGCTTATGTATAACCAGGAGTAGATAATAGGGAACCTAATCCCTATTATCTACTCCTGATATAAGTGAGTTTATCATCAGTTGAGGTTTTTTAGGTCCATTGAGTTTTTTTACTAATTCTAGCTTGGCAAGAATGAGTACTGTCTTGGCAAGAGGGCATATATAACTTGTGCAACGTGGGAATGTGTTTGAAGTCTAGATTATGCTTGTTAATATATGGCCCTGTGTCTAGTGACCTTATCTGTCATATTTAGAAGATCAATAAAGCTTATACGCATGCTTTTGCTGAACATTGAATGGATGCAGTGAATGTGCATGATCACTACACCTTTCATTTTTCGGCTCAGTGAGTACGGGTGCGGTTGCTAAGGCGTTTACCTGTGCAGGGAAGAGGTGTGTGTGTGTCTATTACCAGACACATCTGTCTAATGGGGGAAGCACACCTGTGGAACTGCACCTATCTGTGTTATTAATGACTAATCTTGTCTAATGGGAACACGCCTTATACTTATAGACGTGATGTATGGGCGATGGTGATAGAGCCCGTGCCTGTCATAGCGGCTGGATGCATGAATGCAATTGGCGATAATTGCATGCATCTTGTTGACAAAGCTTTGGAGCATTTCGTTTGATGTGGCTAGAAATCATTGCTTACGCAAAAATGCATACATTGTGGTCCTTGGTTAATTTGTTATGTGCTTGTTAATGTTGATACAAAAATCAATTTGCATTCTCTTTGCAGATTTGGATACGACAACGCAGTCATGAATGCTCTTCATAGCATTTTTGTGATCCTGGTGCTAAGTTCCCATGGAATCTATGGCCAGGTAAGAACATCTGATCGTTATTTATACTGGTTTAGTGTAATGTTATACCGTCTGAAAGACGAATTCTACAAGATGTCATGCTTGACAGAAAATCTAAAGTAGGCAACGCCCCTGCACGTTCTGATTTCTCAATCAGTAATCTCATATTTTACCTATCGCTATTTCCGTGTCTTTGTTAGTTTTGCGCGTTAGTTTACCGAATATTTATTGCTGCTCCAGTGCTGACTCATTGGTAGAATTTACGTATATAACCTCTCTCTGTTGAGATTCATCTCGGTGGCTTTTTTCTCCCCACCACATCTCGGACCCACGTCCTCTGTTCATCACAGCTGCGTGCATTTTAAATTTGTCTCGTCAGATGCCTGCCAACCCACACCCACCCGCACTCCCCATATGTATGCCACCATAGGCACTTTAGACAGTCAGTAAAAACTGAAAATAATATGAACGCACATTCACAAATAGGCCTTACTACCGTACCTCTCTGTTACAGTTTCACTGTTGCGTCACTGTATATCAACTTTCCTTCATAAAAATCTATGTAAAAACTAACGCCGAACGCTCCCGCACTCGCCGCTGCGAGTATGCTGTGTCACCATGAGAATATATATATAAAGCTTTATATTATATTCTCATGGTGACACAGCATACTCGCAGCGGCGAGTGTGGGAGCGTTCGGCGTTAGTTTTTAGCTCATCTGACATAGTCAGATGCAGCTTGTAGAATCGCATGAGCGTGCGTCCGGCCGTGCGTCCGTCCGTCCGTCCGTCCGTGCGTCAACAGTTGGGCACAAATCTTAACCGCTCGACGTACGGTCACAATATTCGGCACATCGGGGGGGATCGTCAAAACGAGTTGGGATGTCGAAGCTGGGGGTCAAAGGTCAAAGGTCAAGAAGTGTAAAGAAGGGGGGAACATTCCCTCCTTTACTTAATGGTTATTAGGGAGGAAAGTGCCGAATTGCGGCACAATATCTAAACGGCTCGACCTAGGTCGTGATAGTCGGTGTATAGCATCATGGTAGGAAAAAACCGATCACCTGTGCGAAATTAGGAGCGTCAAGGATCAATGGGGCACAGGGCAGATTTTTTAGACATTTCTGGAGGACATTTGGTCTGACTTTGGAGCGATTGAAAACGTTTTTTGTTTCAGCGGCTGACTTAGCATTTTTATGGCCTTTATTTGAAAGGACATTGAAATGTACTTTTTCTGCTGTACATGCGAAGAGTAATGTCTGATTAACCTTTTGACCCTCATGAGGGGGTTTAAACATTGGATTTGTTTTACTGCTTAGAAAGAATTATGACTGCCGGCCCAGGTTTGCAGTTAGAATCTATACATGCCTGTGATGTATGAGGCTACCAATGCTCACAGCTGAAATTTCAAATGTAATTTGGTTGAGAAGGTTTATGCCTCTCTTAAATTGTATAATTTCTATGTCATTCTGTACTGTCAGTGCTGTTACATGTAACTTATGCACTGCCGTGCATGTTGGTGGTGATAGTACTGTGTAGTTTTTTGCTGCGTTAATTAGTTACAGGTGGAGCTCTCGTATTTCGGCCTGTAGGCTTGCGTAGGTAAATGGATGAGTGCTTACCTATCTGTCTATGCAAAATATGTTGTTGGGTATACGTACAGACTGGGATCATGGGATGTTCTATCTTTAATCTTTAAGACACTTAAAAACGTATGCGCCAATTCTCGTGGCACTTTCATAACGATTCCCAACGACACATTCCTGTGAGAGGTTCCTGATACCATCCCCTGTGCCTTCCACTGTTTTTGGCGCGTATGTCAACACATTTGGGGACTAACAGGGTTTACTAGAATTCCCACCACTCCACACAGCAGTCACCGCCAGTAGACTTTAGTGATTGAGCGCTGTCGCGTCCGCGGCACTTGTTTTAGAAGTGCTTGTTGTATGCCACACCTTCACGTGTTGTCGCGTTTTTTGTCTCGTCAATTATTAGCTCATCTGACGAAAGTTCGGATGCAGCTGTAGTTATAGAATCGCCATTGATTGGTCCGTCGCCGTCCGTGCATCCGTCAACCAGTTTGGGCACGACACATCTATAAACGGCTCGACGTACGGATTAGAATAGGTTGGGACGCTGGGGGGGTGGGGGTAATTCGAAACCCACGTTTGGGATGTCGAAGCTTGGCGGTCAAAGGGTCAAAGTCCAAGAGGTGTAACAAGAAGGGAACATTCCCTTCTCTAAACTCAGGCTATCAGGGAGGAACGATGCAAATTGCGGGCACAAATCTAAAACGCTCATCGACCCTAGGCTCGTCATAGTTTGGGTGTTATGTCACATGGTAGGAAAAAAAGCCAATCCCAACTGTTGCCGAAATTGGCGGTCACAGGTCAAAAGCGCTCACATGCGGAGCCACGGCAGCAATTTTAGGACAGTTTTCTCGAGGACATGTTGTCTCTGACGGTAAGCGATCTTGAATAACTTTTTTGTTTCAGCCTGGATCTTAGCATCTCTTTATGGCTTATTGAAAGGACTATAGAAATGTTACTTTACTGCTGATATCCGAAGAGTAAGTGTGTTCGTATAACTTTTGACCTTCAACGAGGGGGTTAAGACGGTTTAGTTCCCATTTCGTTCATTTTCCACTTTTCGTGTGTGAATGTGAGGCCTACAGTTTGGCCACAGTTTAATTGCAAAGCAAATGTTTTGGTTGAACAAGGGTTACGCCTCCTTATTAATCATATTTATTTCTAAAGCAGTCTGTCTATAGCACACTGAAGGCTGCAATGCAGTGAATGCTCGCGTGGCCCGTAGGCGCAAAAAACATGGGGCCGCCATGGCTGGCACGCTTCTAATTCATAACTTGTTGTCTACCAACCTGCAACTGCACATGTGTCTGCATATGCCATTTAGAGATTAGCGCTGGGTGCCCGAACAGTGTAGCTGATATATTTGATTCAATTCGGCTACGAATAGTCAACAAGAATAGAAGGACTTATGTTATAAGACGTTCTTGCGCTATTGCCACAAATTAATTTGATTAGCAGCACAAACCAGCACACCAGATGAGCTCCTGTTCGCACTGCGGCACTATGTTATTATCTATTATGTATCATGATTCATATTATTTATTATTAATTAGTAATCAGAGTAGTAGTAGTATGCGCGTCAGTCGGGTAGAGCGGTCACTGCGTAGTGGGTAAGTGGTCATGGTACCGGTAGTAGTCTGTATCATAGTTGCAGCCCTCTTAGTAGTACGTAGAGTGGTAGTACTTAGTAGTTCAGGTGCGTTCATTCAGCCGCCAGTTAGTACGCAGCCAGCAGCAATAGGCAGTAGCAGTAGCAGCTAATAGCAGCAGCAGCTAGCAGCGAGTAGCAGCAACTAGCCAGCAGCCAGCAGCATGCTTTATTTATTAATTTTATCGCCCGCATCTTTACACGCGCGTATCTCGCTGCCTCGCTTGCAGGAGATAGGACTTTGCAGAGAGTGCGCAAAACGTCGCCGCGGGTTGTTTTCTCGCGCCGGAGAGGAGTGCAACTCCGAGTCGGTCGCTGCACGTAGCTGCTGAACGTTCAAGAACAACACACGAACGTCTCGTTCGAGCATGAGCGGCATCGTCGACTCGCCGCTAACCTTCCAGCCTACGTCGCCGTTCGGTTCTCGGACCGACACGAGTATGGTCGAGTGCCGGCGCCACCCTGCGCGGCCGCGAATCGCGTTGCTCATGGACTTTGTGCCATTTGTAGGGATGAAATCTTCGCCGGAGTTTGCCAGAAATGCGGGGGGTCAAACCTGTGTATAATGTGTTCGTTCAGGGGAAGTGCACGCGTTCTTTTATAGTGGGTGTCCGTTCTTTGTGGGGGCGGTTTCATTGCCGAGGTTGCCATTCGATGGAAAGCCGAAAGTCGTCCTTTATATTATCAGGGTGTCTTACCGTGTCTTGTTCACATAGGCATAATCTGGTGTTAGCTCTAAGCCTGCGCACAAGTTGACTGTGTGTGGACTTGGGGAGTGACTTCAGAGTGACTACCCCTCATTATTTCTTGTTTTAAATTGTCTAGCTTCGCAAAATAGGGCTGATACATCTCAGCTCCGAAATATAGACTAATCTAGGCTTCCAAAATCAGGGATAACTAGCTCTCCCAAATAGGCCGACTGAATCTCAGCTTCCAAAATAGGGGCTGTGACACTAGCCTTCCAAAATAGAGGGCTGACTCTAGCCTTCCAAGCAATAGCGACTGAACTCTAGCTTCCAAAATTTTGGGGCTGACTCTAGCTTCCAAAATAGGCGACTGAATCACGCTTCAAATTAGAGACGCCAATTCTAGCTTCCAAATTTTAAATAGGGACTGAGACTCTAGGTTCCAAAATAGGGACTGAATCTAGCTTCCAAAATAGGGACTGAATCTAGCTTCCAAAATAGGGATGAATCTAGCTTCCAAATAGGTAGGCTACCTAGCTTCCAAAATAGGTGGCTGACTCTTAGGCTTCAAAAATAGGACTGAAATCTAGCTTCGCAAAATCGGGCGCTGACTCTAGCTTCCAAAATTGGGACTGATCTGTTCCTAAAATGAATCTAGCTTCCAACAATAGAGGCGACTATCTATGGCTTCCGAAATATAGGGACTGAATCGTAGTTCCAAGAATAGGGACTGATCTTAGCTTCCAAAAATAGGCGAACTGAATCTAAGCTTTCAAATCGAGCTGAATCAGGCTCAAAGGGCTGACTCTTAGCTTCCAGAATAGGCACTGAATCTAGCTTCCAAAATTTGCGGGGCTGGACTCTAGCTTCCAAAATAGGGACTGAATCTAGCTTCCAAAATAGAGACTGATTCTAGCTTCCAAAATTTTAAATAGGGACTGACTCTAGGTTCCAAAATAGGGACTGACTCTAGCTTCCAAAATAGGGACTGAATCTAGCTTCCAAAATAGGGACTGAATCTAGCTTCCAAAAATAGGGGCTGACACTAGCTTCCAAAATAGGGGCTGACTCTAGCTTCCAAAATAGGGACTGAATCTAGACTTCCAAACATCGCGCGCGGGCTGACTCTAGCTTCCAAAATTGCGGATGGTCTCTAGCTTCCAAAATAGTAGACCGAAGCTCTAGTTCACAAGTTAGGGGACTGAATCGGAGGTTCCAAAATAGGGACTGACTCTAGCTTCCAAAATAGGACTGAAATCTAGCTTCATCAAAATAGGGACTGAATCGTAGCTTCCAAAATAGGGGCTGACTCTAGCTTCCAAAATAGGGACTGAATCTAGCTTCCAAAATAGGGACTGACTCTAGCTTCCAAAATAGGGACTGAATCTAGCTTCCAAAATAGGGGCTGACTCTAGCTTCCAAAACAGGGACTGACTCTTAACTTCCTGGACTTCCAGCCTGCCCAATAACCATCGATACCATCGCGTAGACTGTACATCAGTCACTTGTGTGAGCGCCGATGCTGTGTGTCTGCTCGCTCGTTGACGCAGCTGTGTCGGTGATAGACTCAGTAGCAATGCAACTATAGCGTCCGTGTTATGACAACTGGTTGCTAATGTGAAATATTTGTATGCTTTCATTATTGATCATTTCTGCGATATATGGTTAACACGCTATGTTTCGTAGCTGTAACTTGGGTTAATTGAGTTCGTTAAAACGTGTTGAGGTGTGCGTGTGTTTACGTTTCAGGGAAATGACTCTGTGATAGAATGTGTGCACAACATTGACACAGGAACGGTTGACATTTACATGTCCTACAACGCGGCTACTGGCAAGAGCAACAGCCGACTTGCCAGGGTGAGCTATTCCCTGATAATTACTGATTAACTGTTATTTTATTAATTATGTAAATATTACAGGTGTTTATTGAATAAATTAGAATAAATTTAGTGCCGTCGTGATTGCCTGCTGCGTTTGCAGGGGACGGAGTCTCGTAGTGGGAATACAATGTACTCATTTTTTCTGTGATTCATGTATGGAATAGTGGAATGGTGTGGTGGAATGGTATCATGTTCTTTTGAAATCACTAAGATTTCGATGTTTTAAATCTTTTATGTTTAATGTTATTAAATGTTTTAAATCTTAATTTTTAGCTCAGCTGACGAAGTCAGATGCAGCTTGTAGAATCGCATGGTTGTCCGTTCATGCGTTCGTGCGTCCGTGCGTTCGTCCGTCCGTCAACAGTTGGGCACAAATCTTAACCGCTCGACGTATGGTCTTGATATTCGGGACGTCGGGGTGGATCGTGAAAAGGACTCGCAATGTCAAATTTGGGGGTTAAGGGTCAAAGGTCAAGATGTAGCAATGGACCTACGCTCGATGTAGCTCGACCTACGATCTTAATATTCGATGTATAGTGTGATGGGGAGGAAACCCATCACAAGCGCAAAATTGGAGGTCACAGGTCAAAGGGCAGTGGGGGAAAGGTCAGATATCAGACATTTTCTGAGGACATGGTCTAACGGACCGAGTGCAAAACTTTTTTGTTTCAGCACTGACCTACCATTTTTATCACTTTATTGAAAGGACGATGAAATCTACTTTCCGCTGACGTGCGAAGTGTCTGATAACCTTTTGATTCGGTTGCCAGTGAGTTTATCAGAAGAATACCCGGCTACAGTACACGTCAGTTGAGCGCTGTCGCTCTGCGGCACTTGATTGATAAAAAGGGGGCAATCAAAGCAAGTTCTCAGCTAGACTTATGACTGGCTCGGTATGAAAGAAAATGTTGACATACTTTGCATATATTCATAATTGCAATCTCAAAATTGGGCATTCAAAACATGGTCAAGGTCATGAACATGGTCAATAATTAATAATTGTTTCAAGTGCTACTTACCTGAAACTACTTAAAGAAATAGGGCATACATAGAAATTTAATTATCATTATATATAATTTTTCATTGTAAAAAGGAAGTACTGTATAAGCTGTATATTTTGCGGTGGTTTAATTTTCGCGAATTTTTTCCCCAACGTGATAATAACAACACTCGAATAATTCATACCGAATAATACCGAATAAATGCGTAATTCACCGACCGCGAAATTAACAACTCACGAAATTATCAGTCAAGTCTGAATTCGCGAAAATATCTGTATGCGAAAAATATGGCGTATACAGTAATATAATCTAAACTGTGAAATAGTTATGTTGAGTGAATAATAGCTATCGTGCGTGAATTGATCAGGAACAAGTTTGGATAGCAAATGACAGATAGGAAAATAATGCAGGTGAAAGTAGGAATCCGGACTAGCAAGTGAAAAAGAGACACAATAATTTTTATTGTGTTATGTCAACACTGTATATAGCAACGATTCTATAATTATACTAAAAATACCGAATGCTTCATTTTACAGCCAAAAGATGGCGTCATACTGCAGAGTTCGTCGTACAATGGCGGAATTATCCGCTGCAGGTTCCTCAGAGCCAAGTCTGTCTCTGGCAACAACCTCGTCTTTGATCTCAACCACCCCTGGCATCTACTGATGGCTAACGGAGAGGCATATACAGGTACGGCGCGCAGATACCTGACTAGAGTATTATATTATGCGGTCGTTTAATTTACCTCTCTGTCTGCGCGAGATAATCAGGCTCCCTCCCGCTGATATTGTCACTAGGCTGGTCAAGCTAGACCAGTCTGTGGGTGTTTTACGCGTGCGCACAATCCAAAACAACGACGATGTTATGCTACTTCGTTGCCAAACATCGTCTCTAGAATGTCCCTGTCGCCATAACGATATCACACCTCTAACTTGCATCTCCTTCTCTCTCTCTCTCTCTCTGCAGGCGGTCTGCACATGCATTCACTCGCGCCACCTCCGACCAGCTCCAAGGAGAAGGTGAATCTACTTGCGACGGACATCGGCGGAGGAGGACAGGACAACACGGCTGCCCTGCGCAAGGCCCACGGTACGTGTCACCCCCAGCTCCCCTGGAAAAATAGCTTTTACTACCTGTGATGCACGTAGGCTGCTGTCAGTTCTAGACTCACAGCTTTCTTATGTTGGAGGAATTTGTCTGCCGAATGTTGGGTCAGTGTGTTAATCTAGGCTGATTGCGTTCGCATGCACTGTGTACGTGCTCGCATGTGTGTATTATGTCATCCTGGGGCCCGTTGTCAGAAACAAAATTAGTCTTAACATTAGTCTTAACATTAACTTCCACTCGTAAACCGTTGACAGAAACATCGTAATGTTACGAGAATGAAAAATCCTCGAAAATATCCTCTTAACATTACGAGAGCCCAGACCTTCTCGTAACTTTAATATTAAGTTGAAAATAACACATTTACACTACGAATTACAATTATAGTGATATTATATTTTATAATAATGAATAAAATGTGAGTTTTTCTTGAAAAACACGTCAAAATCATTAATTATCTACCGATCATAAAACAAAACAAAACATTTACAAATGGCGTATGCAGCAGTGAAAAAATTAATTTTTTTCTTTCCGGGGCTCTTTTTGCAAACCCCCCCAAAATTTCGGGAGCTACTTTTTCATTTTCCAGGGCTCTTTTTCCACTTTCCAGGGCGACTTTTTTCCAGGGCTGTTTCCTCAAATGTACACACAAGCACAGCAAAAGCAGTAGCTAATACACACTCGCGGGGGCGCGCACACACCACACACACCAGCACGTCAA